CCAGCTGGGATCCCAAAGGCATGGGGTCCATTGATGCTAACCATATAGGTGAGCCTTCCAGGTAGAAGGCGGGGTGCGGATGTGGGCGGGAAGCACAAACCAGAATATTCCGTATAATGATCTGTTATGTTATCTACTGCTTCTCACACAACTTAAATGAGGGCAGATTAAATCCGTCTCTTCCAATAACCTTTGCTGGTTTTTTGTACCACGTCCATGCAACTGTATTTTAGTGGAACTGCAAGCATGAGTGAATTTAACAATGTTGTGACCACAAGCCATAAATTCCTGCAGCTGAAGGATTCTGGGAACAGATCTTTCTGGAAAATGGGACTCGGAGCCAATGCGGTTACGTTGGACCGACCAGGCGTCCTTTAGGCCGAAGGAGTTTCATTAGAGTCTTTGGAAGTCTAAATGCTATCCTTTCGTGAACAGATTTAACAGTCCACTTGTGGCTGCTGGGAATGGTGGTCCCAGGCACAGCCTAACTGATAAAATTAAACAAAAGCAAACCTTCTTGGATTGAATAAGAAGGAGGAGTCATCGGAGAGACGCTTCTCCAGGAAGCAAAGGACGGAAACACAGCTGTCCAGAACACGAGAGCCACAGAGAGAGCCAGGGCCTTCAGCAGAAAAGGAATAGGAGGAACAAAACTAGGGGGAAAAAAAAAACACAAAACAAAACCACCCATTTCTGATTTCCTGAACTTTCAATATGGGGACCATTAACAGGAGCATTCTGGCTAATCTTAATTGCTAGGGCCGAGGAAGCGAATTGCCTGGGTAATCAGATCCCAAAGCATACAGGGCTTTATAGATTAAAGCAAAGTTATGTCCTAATCCCATCAAAACGTCATAATCTTGTGTCACAGCGGCCTCTAAACACAGCTGATTGAGATGCCACGAGTGCGGAATCTGGGATCCATCACAGCCCTGCCGTCCGGAAAGCAAATAACCCCAAATGAGAAGATTGGGTTTCGTGTGGTCTGGAGATGTTGACTGCAGAGGCCGAGCCCCGCTGCCGCCCCTGCCTCGGGCCTCGCGTGGGGAGAACTGTGCTCTCCCGAGACGCATTCCTCGTCAAGGAAATTTTCCCCAAATGGAAATCGACTCATCCTTTTGGCTGATTGTAAAACTAATATGTGCCCGCCGTTAAAAAAAAAAAAAAAAAAAAAAAAAAAAAGGCAGGCAATACAGAGAATAGAAAGCATAATCTCACCAGCCAGAGTAACTTTTGTCATTTTGCTGTGTGATCTTTCCAGACGATTTCTAGTACACGGAAACACCCGTGTTTTCTCTCCCATCCTCTCCTCACAGTTGTTCTCGCCCCCCACACTCCTCGCACCGGCCACGCGTTGGCTGATCCACGTCCACCGGGCTGAGCGTGGCCGACCCACAGTGCTCGCGTCTCCATCAGCTCAGTTTAACCAACCAGCAGGGACCGGCCAGCGTCTCTGAGTTCCATCCTAAGTCCCGGAGCGAGAGGACTGTCTGGGCCCCTCTCTACTCCGATGGCATGACCACGGGGTCGCAGGCACGTCGAGGACACGTGTGTAATCTAGTCCCCTTCTTGGGGGTGGGGAGGAGGTACAAGGAGCCTGGTGACAGACGGCAGGAAAGAGCCCTTCACCGACTCTGCAAAGAGTATCTAATCCAGTGCGTTTTTTAAAAAATTTTTATTTTACTTTTTTAAAGATTTTATTTATTTATCTTTAGAGGGGAAGGGAAGGAGAAAGGGAGAGAAATATCAGTGTATGGTTGCCTCTTGTGCATCCTCTGCTGGGAACAGGCCTGCAACCCAGGCATGTACCCTGACTGGGACTCGAACGGAAATCTTTTGGCTTGCAGGCCCGCACTCAGTCCACTGAGCTACACCAGCCGGGGTCCAGTGCGTTTTAGCAGGTCCTGGCTGACATCGGTCTCCCACAGACAGGAAGAGGCTTATAACTGGTTGTTCAAGCAGCGAGTGGCCGACCCAGCTCTGAGATCAAGGGCTGCGCCTGCAAACTCTGGGTTCACTTTATTCTACCCGCTGTGCCGCCGTCACAGAAGTGATGTAAAGCCGTCTGACCCATGAGAATGTGGAAATATGAAGACATATAATTGAGCATTCATACAACATTTTACAGGCACTTTCCCCGTCTCAAAGGCCCATTTAACTTCGAGGTTCAGTCCATGGTTCTAACATTAAAAGCCCCTAGTCTAGGGGAAAATAATACCCATGGTCTTAAAATAGTCATCAGTCTCAAGGTTAAGTACCTTCCACTTGCCTTGAGCAGGGGAGAAGATTCTACACCCACGTGTAAGTGATGATATTCAAGGCTCACAGACTGACAGTCTTCTTCCGTCTTCTGTTGGTCTTGACACAGAAGCCCTCGTTCTTGCCCCCCCCCAGCTGTGGGGTCATCCCCAGAAGTCAGTGGATTGGTTTTTTCGACATCAGGAAGAGCTAAGAAAGTAGACAAAGCCTAGTTACAGTAATGGACCGAGAACCCACTTAATCTGCCTTTCTCCTTGAGAACTAAAGGTCAGTGTCCTAAGTTGACACTCAGCCCCTGACACTCACTAGGCCGGTGCCTTCCCTTACTTTCCTCCCATCAGACGGACGGCTCTCCCGTCTCCGAAATGGGGGCGAAGAGCACCTGTACCTTGCGTGGATGTCGGGAAATTTCTGAATGAACCAATGCATGACCTGGCTTCCACTTGGTATTAGGAATACACGAAACCTAAGGTATATTTAACTTTCTCCAGGTGGATCCAGAGGTAGAATCAGAAATTGTGCATGCCAAGTTACATGTAGGTGGAACGTGTCGCTCAATGGAAAGAAAACCTTTTCAGAACGGTCCAGCAATGGGGCTAGTTTGTCTCAGGAGATACTAAGCGCTCCCTCATGGAAGTACCCAAGAAAAAAAGCACGACCCCAGTGTTCTTGGGTATAATAAAGGGAATTCTATTCTTTAGGTGCCATGTTAACTTCCAAACCCCCTTTAAATATTTTACTCCTGGTGACTCAGTGCTCTTGGGCCTTTATCCCATACCCCTCCCTCTCAGCTTCCTTTTCCAAGCTCATAACGGCTATTTAACCCCACAGGGCTCTGGGGGAGGCAAGTTTATCTAGAAGTTCAAGACCCGAGAATGTCTGGATTTGGAAGTGTTATTCTTTAACAGTAAGGAAAGCGCCTCTCGTCTCTTGGGTTTCGTTTTGCTGAGATTGACAGGTCTCTCCCTCTACCCCCGCCAATCCCATCAAGGTGAGGTGGGGACTCCTTGGTCCTGCAGAGTTGGCTGGCTACTGCGGTGGGTGGAGGTGGGCGAAATATGTAAGGTGAGTCCAGGGCAGGGATGAAGTGCTCTCCCTAATACAGGGAGGAGCCGTTCGAGGCTCCATAATAAGAAATGCAGGAATAAGGACAAAGAAGCAAGGGACCACATGGGCCGAAGATGAGGAGGACATCCCACTGCTGGAAGGGCAGGGAGAAGCCCACTTTAGAGAGAGGCCTTGTCTGGTGGGAAGCTTTACGTAGTGGGATCTTTTGCCCTATGGGATCTTCAGTGGAATACGTGCCACTCCCTCATGCTCTTGTTGCAAGTGGCTGTGCTCTGCATCAAGGTCAACATCAATGAAAACAGAGAAACCAGGTGGGGCAGGCGGACTTGCGGGTTCCATCCATCAGGTGAGGAAATTAGAGGGAGAGATCGTGAGGATGAAAGGAGGCAGCACCTGCACACCACGGGCACTGGATCAAGGTCCCTTGAAGGTCAGCTTCCCTGCAGTGTGCACGCCACCTCTTTCCAGACCTGTCACACTTTCCTCTCTGAGATGTGACCAGGTGTTCGGGTTGTTTTTGGAGCCTTGAGTTGCACGTTGACTTTGGCCTGGAACGTGACTCCGGAGTGACCTGCGCATCCTGGGGGGCTCTCCAGGGCTCCCTGGGTCCTTCCTCCCCATCCTCCCCTGCACCTAGAGCTCATGTTCATTTTGGCAACTTGGACTTTTCACTGCCTGATACCCAATCCTCTGGAGCCTTTTCTCAAAGAAGAGAAGCATTAATGAAGCCATCAAATGGAAATGTCCAACTGCCAGAGGATTTTTTGCAGGGGAGTGGGGGAAAAGGGAAACAAAAGGACCATCGAGTCCCTCACTGGGATCGTCCCCCCACTTCTTTAGAGAAGCCCTGTGGTATCTCTCTGATTGTGTTTCTGAGGCAATGCGTGGCGAACACCCTAACTGAGGACGAAGTTGTTTGCCTGGCTCTAAGGTGTTCTGCCTGGGGACGGTGCCAGCGGGCCAGCTGGAAGCCGCTGCTCAGGACACCGAGTGCCCGCCAGTGAGGTTTCTCACGGAGAGGGTCCCATGGATGAACCAAATCCAAAACTTCACCTCGGCTGCTACGTCTTACCTCCTTCTCACACGACTGCAAGATGCCAACTCCTAGGAGCCCTAGAAAATACCGGTGGCCCCTGAACAACACAGGTTTGAACTGGGCAGGTTCACTTATACGCACCTGTTTTTCAATAAATGCCTACAGTACTCCACGTGGATTTCCTCTTCCTTGTGATTTTCTCAATAACATTTTCTCTTCTCTGGCTTACTTCATCGTAAGAATACGGTGTATAATATGCGTTACTGGAGTGTTGATGTTATTGGTAAGGCTTCCGGTCCACAGTAGGCTATTAGCAGTTATGTTTTGGGAGGAGCCAAAACTCACAGATTTGCTACTGCACAGGGGGTCAGTGCCCCTATCCCCCCCCCTGCCCCACAGTTGACCCATAGTTCAAGGGTCAACTGTACAAGTCACCGAGAGCTTGGGTAGGAAGTCATCCCTTTTTCTCTTTAGCACTAGTGGTGTGGAAGACAGTGGCCTCAAGTTCAGTTGAAGATCAGATCATGTCTTTAGCTGGGAGGAGGATTGGAAAGGAGATGGGGGGTGAGGGGGAAGGTGACGGTTGTGGGTACGTGACTCTCGAGTTAATGTGGTCTCCCTTCTCCTTTCCAAACAGAACAGAGCTCGCTGCGTGAAATCTCCGGTCTCGCACACTGTCTTGTGCCGAACACGCTGGAAAACCTAAGCTGGTAAGCCCTTGAACACGTCTTTACATGGCATTTTGAGATCTAGGTTTCTGGAGCAACCCTAAGAAACTTTTGTGTATATTGACAGCCACCAGGAATCTGAAGGTTGTCAACCAGACAAAGGAGAAATTAGTAAGAAAATCGGTCTGTTCGGGCCAAAGAGAAAGCAGTTAGAAGTAATAATTAATACTAAATAATAACAGGATAGATCATTAATAATTGGTATTATCTATAGAATATTTAAATAGGCCTGGACTGGACTATAATAAAAGATCGATAGCGTACAGGGAGCACCGGGTCTTCTAAGACCTTCGCACAGATGAGACCATTTACCTATAAAACCATCCCATGAGGCAGGCGCAAGTAATGTGTCCATCTTACAGACGGGGAAACTGAGACAGAGAGAGGCAAAGAAGGAGATATGGACACTGAGTTAATCCTGATTATGGTCCCAGGAGCTAGGTATCCTCACTCCCGCCTTGTAGCTAAGGAAACTGAGGCCGTGTGACTCACTCAAAGCCACGCAGCTCCAAAGTGGCAGGGGCGGGGGTTGAACTCAGGGCTGTGGGGGCACTTCTGACGTGGAACCACCTTTCCTGTCGGGCTGGCCTGGCATCTACAGACACACAGTCAGCTGGCTGACCATGTCATTCATTATCTAAGCTGCTTCTTGTTGCACCAAGCTGATCTCGAGAGGAACAAGAGAAGGGATCGAAGGGAATTTTAGGAACCTGAGTATCGCCTGCTTCAGGTGACTGGGATTTGGGGCTGGCAAAGAAAACGACATCTGATGTCACCCCCCATAGGATTCCACTCTCCTTCCTCTCTCTCTCTCTCCCTCTCATCTTCCTTCCTGTACCCCTGAAAAGATGGAGAGATTTCAGGAAGGTTCAGTGGAAGTCACTGGAGACGGGACCACACTCAAGGGCTGCCTTCCGCGTTGATGAGCATCCACTCCCTCCCCCGTCCTCCCAGTGCCTGTGCGTGAACAGCCCTTCTTAGCCCTGCCGCCTGCTGCCCCTGATAAAGGTCTAAATCCTCCAGTAAGGTCTGCTCCTGTGCCGCACTTCTGTTCCTTCAAGCTCATTCTGTTCCCTCTTCTGCCAAGGCCTGCAGCTCGATTACTGTTGTTAAGTAACATTGTTTTCTGAAAAGATGAGCACGTTCAGCCTTGGAAGAAAATCGTTGGCCGATCTCGTGTGCTTAGTCATCCCGGCATACTTGAAAACAAACTTCTAGGGCAGGCTCTTTCCCCTAATTTGCATTTCACAAAAATAATCACTGGTGTTTTGTTTTAGAATTGAAACTTCAGTAATTGGGAGGGAACAGATCTTCACATCTCGCTGAATACTCTCATTTAATGAAATCTGTTTATATGCGCCTCAGGAATATTTAGTAGTTTTCCACCTGCGGGCGGGTATTGTACATTTTGTATTAAGTTTTTCTTTTTTAGGCATTTTATGAAAATTGGTGCCATTTTGGCAGAATTCTTTGTATTTCTCTAACCACTGTTTGTTGCTGTTTAAGAGGCTATTGATTTGTGAGTGTTTTATTTGGTATCCAGGCAACGAAACTGGACTCTTGATTGGGTTTTGACATTTTCAGTGGTTTTCTTTGTGTTTTCAAAGTAGAATACTGTATCATCTGCAAATGCCATTTTTTCCTCCTTTTCACGACTATTTATTTCTGTTTTATGAATCTTACGTTGCTGAAACCTTCCAGGGAAAATGTTAAATGTTAATGGTGATAGGGACCATCATTCTCTTATTTGGAGTCCAATAAAAATGCTTGTAGGAAGTCACCATTATCTATTACTGTGGATGTGGTTTTGAGATAGATAATCATGGGTATGTTTAAAAAAAAAAACAGCTCTTCTTTCGTTTCAAGTTTTCTGAAAGGATTTTGCTGAATGGGTGTTGGTTTTTTTATGCCTTTTATGAATCTATGAGATCATGATATACATTTCCACTTTGTTAGACAAGCTATTTTATATTCTATTCCTAGCATAACTCCCCACCCCTGGACACAGCAAATCACCGTTTTCACATACTATTTGAATTAATTAGTGAGGACTCGGACATTTCTGATTCCAGGTGTGACTCATCTATAGCTTTGTTTTTGGTGCTGGTTTGGGCGCAGGTTCCTATTACCGAGGTCCTGCAGGCCGCAGAGAGTGGAGCTGGAAGCAGCTCCCCACTGCCTGTCTTCTGGAGCGAAGTGTCGTGTGTGGCGTTGGGATGACCCATTTCTTCCCCATTCCAGGCTGACGCTCAACTCAGCCTCCGCGTCTTCCATGCAGATAAGGTTTTTGGCTGTTGTTAGCCATGACCCTTGTTCCCCTCTGGCCCTTCTCCCACTTCTTTTTTTCCTGTTAGTCAGCTTGGCAATTTATGCTCCAGAGAATATTAATAATTTTGTTAATAGATAAATTATATGTGCTTGGTATATCTTTATTTTTAAAGAATGGCCCTCACGTACACCATCTATCTGATAAAGACTGAACATGCAGACTCTATGAAAACCACAACTCGATGGCAAACAACCAACCAGAAATCCAGTTTAAAAAACGGGCAGAGGAACTCAGTTTCTGCGAAGAGAACATGCAACTCTGAACGGCCGGCAGGTACACGGGACGGTGCTCAGCGTCACCCATCATCTGGGAAATGCACACTGAAGCCGCGGCGAGAGATGGGCTCGGCCCGTCGGGGTGGTTATAGTGTGAGTGTCAGTGAGAGAGCGGAGAACAGGGAACCCCTGTGCCCTGGTGGGAGTGTGAACCGGTGCAGCCACTGTGGGAAAACAGTGTGTGTGGGGGGTTCCTTAAAAAATTAAAAATAGAACTGCCATGTGACACAGCAATCCCCCCTTTTGCGTATATAACCAGAGAAATTAAGATCACTGTCTCACAGAGAGATCCGCACCCCCGTGTTTCATGCCGAATCACGCACCGTTGTCAGGAATGGAAGCGGCCTCTGCCCACGCGTGGATGGATGCACAAAGAAAGTGTGGTGTTTATGTACCGTGGAATATGACTGACCCTAATGAAGAAGAAAGAGGCCATCATTTGGGACAACATGGATGAACCCCCAGGACACTGTGCTGAGTGAAATAAGCCAGACACAGAAGGACAGACGCTGCCTGATCTCACTTGTTCGAGGGAACCGAAATCGTCAGACGCGTAGAAGCAGAGAGCAGAGTGGTGGTTGCCAGGGGCTCAGGGGGAGGACAGACGGGGAGGTGACAGTCAAATTCCAGCTTTGCAAGGTGAATAAATCCTAGAGATCTACAGCACGGTGCCTACAGGTAACAATACTGTAGTGTGCACTTAAAAATTTGCTAAGCAGGTAGCTCTTATGTTTTGTTCTTATCACACACAGAAGTCATAGATAAAGAGTGTGGAAGGACACTTTGGAGGTGACGGAGGGTTTATGGTAGACTGCGGTGATAGTTTCACAGGTCTGCCTGTGAAAACTACATACATAGAACTTTGTGTGTGTCACTGATGCCTCAATATGGTGATTTACATTACTCAACACTCATGAGTGTAAGTAACACCTACCAGTGCACCAGGCACTGTTATTACCAATAGACGTGTATGAACTCACTTGGACCTCACAACAACCGTATTGGGCAGCTGCTATTTTCTCCATTTTGCACACGAATAAATGGAAACCCATGCAGGTTAAATGACTCCAAGCACATGACGGAGCCGAAATTCAAGCTCATCTTTCCTGGCTACGGAGCCTGGGTACATAGTACTTGATATGCAGTGGATCAATGAGTACTTTAAAAGCAGGAGAAGTCAAACTCATTGAACAGGGGGGAGAGAGAGAAGAAGAAGAAAATGATAAGCAGAACTATTAAATGGTTCAATGGCCTGATTTCCACCTTCTTCAGGAGGCTTGATCCAAGGGACTTTCATGTTTATTCATTCACTCATTTACTCAATTTACTACTTGATAGATATTTATCAGATCTTTATCGTGCCCCTAACAATGATCCAGGTGTGAACCCAGGTGTGTGCAGTACATCTGGTAAACACACAGTCCTTGCTCCTGTGACTCTCCCGGCTTCGCTAGTGGGATGGAAACAGTGGGAAGGCTGGGGTTTGTAAAATTTCTTGCTGCAAAATAGAGTGTATAGCATGGCATTTGGATAAATGGTGCCTTTTCCTCAATTGTCTTAGGTCTAGTCAGCCATCTTTATTCCTTAGATGCCCTCATTCTACAAACATTTATTCAGAAATCGTTGTGTGCTGGGCCCTGGGGTAGGGGCCAGGGAGGCACCAGCTGATGGACCGAGGCCCGGGGAGTTCGATCCATCCAGTGTCCATGGCGAAGAGGTGGTGGAACTGGACACGCAGTCTTATTTATTGGCATGACTCGCAGAGAATTAAAATTGGCTCTTGATGTCCCCACACGCATGGAGACAGAACGAATCCAGGTTTGCTGAATGAATGAATGTTATCGCTCACACGCTCGCATGGAAGTGAACAGGGGGACATATGAGACACATCCAATCATTGAACGCTCGCTCTGAAAAAAACGGTGAAATGGACCCCATCGCCCACAGGAAGCAGGGACATTTAGCTGGTACCAGGAGACCTTTAAACAGTGACGTGCACACTCCAGGCACTGCAAGATTGAAAGAGACAAGCATCCCAATGGCTTCCCCTGGGCCTCACCTCCCCCTTCGGTCATCAAGGCAAACTCGGGCTGCAGACGGGACCCGCTGCCTTCAACACGGGTCTCGCATTAGATATGTGTCAACAGAGATTAGCTCAGCCCCACAGGCCGCCATTTGCCATTTGTTAGGCCACCGTCACCAACTCCGTAATCTAATCTCGGCTGGAGCAGTTTCTCTTCCAGGTTAAATATATTAAAGCAGCGGGGATGTGGCCACTCAGGGCGGCGCGGCCTCCCTCTCTCTCTGACAAGCCTGACCCTGCTCCAAACCCCGCTCCCCCTGGAGACGCCAGGGGTCAGAACCTCC